GTGATTTTATTGCTCATTAACATCACTGTTTGGAGTTCGGATGCGAGGAATTATATCACGAGGGCGTAGCCCGAGTGATATAATGATGTGCATCCGAACGACAAACAGTAATGCTATCAACCAATAAAATCACCGATTTGGATATATTATTTTGATTCTAACACGACATTAACACGTTCCTGATATTAAGCTAAATTGCGCTTGTTTTGTTTCTTTATTGTCAGCGCGTCACATTTTTAGTGGTTACGTCACGTGTATAATGATAACGTCACACGTCTAAATATAGAACGTCAAACAGTGATTTTATAGCATAATAACAGATACTTTCGGTTCTTCTATGTTCAATAGGGAAAAATGCGGGTCGTGTTAGAAATATAAACTTTACACTATCAACTCAAACAATACAATAACAACATAGTGTCAACATGACTGTGCAAATCACACTCTTCACAATACTTATATTATTGATATAATATCTTTCTGTCTGATGTGATATGTGCAGAAAAAATTAAAAATATGCACACTTATTTATTATAATGACCTTTTCAGTTCTTGTATTCTGATAATTTTTTACATCACACAGCTCCATTGAATTTTGGACAGTGCAATTGTCAAAAACTCTTTGACTTATGTGGCAGAAACAGCTATAAGTTGATAAAAATGTTTCATTTTAGATCTAAAAGCCATCAAAATGAAATTAAAAATGTAATGACTATCATTTAATGAAATTAAAAATGTAATGACTATCAACTGCTTTTGGTATAGTATCAGTGTCAATGAGAAAATTCAAAAATTTATCCATTCTAATTGTTTAGTGCTAAACTAAGGTGTGCACATAGTGCTTTTCAGGTGTGCGCCTTTTCATATCTTAATGAGTAAGTGGTTGCAAGTGTTTAAAGCACATCTAACTTTACAAAAATGATTCTGAATTATATCATGTGCTAACAATACTTTGTTCTATGAATCCCTGATAGTGGGTTGTACTGCCCTTTTTTTTCTCTAAAATATGTTTGACAACCTCTTGTTATTTTGGTCAAAATTTAAGAGGTAAAATTGACTTTGATATATAAAATGAAACACTTTTCTTAAGATATGCACAGTTTTCAGCAAAACATGTCATAAAATTTGCACATTTCACGCCTTCAAAATATACTCTAAACAGTTGAGAAAGTAAATACAAAATATGTAATAAAAGCATGGTCTAACAGCGGCTTTCATTTTTGAAAATATTTGATATTTATAAATGATTATATCATCAGAAAAGAGGACCACATACATTAAATTCATTAAGATTTAGCGCATAACAGTAATATCAGAATCACAGCATTTAAGCACCAATGGTGGTAATGGTGTGCATTGAGTAAATAAAATGTTTCTTCTTTGTACAAATATGAGTTATAGGAAAATGTACATTCCCTGTTTTTTCAAACTTTGATGATATCATAATATATACCTGGATTGTCAGTCATCATTGTTCATGACTACTGTTCATACACTATATGAATCAAAACTGTTTGCATTTTGTTTAGAATTCAAATTTTATTGCACAGATAATCTGCAAAAGATCTTAAGTAAAATCTGAATCTCAAAACAAATTGAAAAAGAAGAATTATAGAAGTGTACTTTCATCTAAAGTCAGCTAGCATGATATATTAATTAGAAAAATATTAAAGGATTTTAGTCTTTTGTAAAGTTTTCTTCTACAGACTTGCAAAATATTTTAAACAATGTTTAAATTAACAAAACAATTTTGTTTTCAAATTTATATCAGAATATTTAACATAAAACAGGGGTCTAACTCAAATATTTGTACCACTTTTTTACCAAAAATTGCAAAGAGGGAATTTGAGTCTAACTCAAGTTAGTCTTGTATTGCGCTTCAGAATTTCAGGGGCAAAAAAAGGGTCAAAACCCCCTTAAAAATACCCCAATTTTGGGGTTAACACTTTTTTTTTAAAATTATTTAAAAATGCATTTTCTTTTATTTAAAAATTAAAAGGGTTTAATTTTAAAAAGGCAAAAAATATTTTTTTAATATAAGTTTTTTTTTTAAATTAAAACATTTTTTTTGTCTCCCCTTTGGAACATTTTTTTCAAAAATAGCATTTTTAGCCCCAGTTTTTGCGCGGGGAGCCTTTCGAAAAATTAAAAGCGGGTTAAAAACTTTTTTTTTTTTTTTATATTTCCCCCAAAAGGTAAAAAAATTTTTAAAAATTAAAAAAGGGGGTTTTCGCCTGTTTTCAGTTGCCCGGGAAAAAGGGGGTTTTTTTTACTAAAGGGGTTAAAATTTTAAAGGAAAAATTTCCCTTTACAGGGTTCCTAATTTTTGCGGATCAGGGGTTAAAATAAATTTTCCCGTGTTTCCCTTTCCTTTTTAAATTTTTCCGTACCCCCTTTGGGCATTTTAAAAACAGTATATTTTAATAAAGCTTTTGGAAAATGATAAATCTTTTTTCAAAAATTTTACTATTTCGGGTTAATTGCCCTGCTTTTGGGTTTTTTTTTTTTGTTGTTGTTTTTTTGGGTGTGTTTTTTCCCGGGGAAATTTTTGGGGCCTCTTCAATTTTTCAATATTTTAACCCATTTAAAAAAACAGATAAAACGGGGTTGTAAAAAGGTTGGCTTAAAACAACCCTTTTGGTTTTTTTTAATTTTTTTCACTGTTTAAAAAACCGGGTTTTTAATGTTTTCTCAAAAATTCATTGTTTCTTTGAAATTTCATTTATTTATTAGTTGTTTTTTTAACCAATTTTTGCTATTTATCTTTATTGGACAATTCCATTGTTCAATCTGGACTAAACCATTCATCATTTTTAGGGAAAATTTAAAAAATTTTAATATCGGGGACTGAATAGCAAAAGTGCAGACCATTAGGTTTGGGATGGCTATTTTCCATCTTTTCTAATGCTTTGAATTTTGTCCGAGGGGGAAATTTAGACTAACATCGTTTGACCATGTCACCCGGGGCCCGCAATTTTAATTTTTTATACTGGTACTTTTTTCCGTTTTTTTTATCTAAAGCATTTCTAAAATTGGGTTTTTTTTATTTATAGAGTAAATTTTAAAAAAAAAAATCACTTTTCCTACGACTGTGGAACACTTTTGCAAAATTTTTTTAAAAACAATTGATTTGCGGCACCTTGTAATAAACGTGAAATTCAAAAATATGAATTAAGTGTTTCTACTGTTATATATCTACCCCATTCTTAATCGAGTTACAAACTATTTTTTTGCATATTTGACACAATGTCATTATAGGTAATATCTGTACATACAAAATGTAGTAAGTGCCTTGGGCTAGCTCAAATCAATTTTATTCGTACAAGTTTTTTTACTACATTTTTGATCTTCTGATGTTAACATAAAAATAAAACAATTATGAAGGTTTTATGCTATAAAGTACTTAAAATTTGAAGAAAAAAAAACAACATTTTTTTGAAGTCAAAATTTCCCATCTTAAGGGTTTAAAAATTTTTCCAAACAAAAATTTTTAAAATTGAAAAAAGGTTAAATTAGGGCCTTTTTTTTACGCTTTTAAAACTATTTATGGAAAATACTTTCCTTTTTTTTGAAGTTATTGATTTTTGGACTGTAAGTTTTAAAAAGTAAAAAATTTTAAAATAGCAAAAAAACCACAAAAATTTTGATGTAAAAAGTCACAAACTCAATTATTAAAAAAAAATTAATTTTAATTCTTGCCAAAAAACATTTCTTTTATTTAAATTTTTCAATATTTGGGGAAAAAACAAAACTTTTTGGAAAAAAAATTTTATCTAAAAAAAAAATAATTGACGAAGCAGTTTTTTTCGGGCACAACATTTCTTTTTAAAAGTAATTAAAAAGGCAGAAATTAGGGTAAATGACAAATTTTTAAGAACAAAAGTGTCTATAAAAAAAGTTTTTTCATCTTCTAACATAGCAGGGGCTTTTCCCCATGTAATTATAACCCTCCCCCCCTGGCCCCACGCCAGTTTTGTCCGTTTCCAATACACATACGTTTAATCTCCATTTTCTTTAAAATACCCCCCGCCACTTTTTAATCTGTTGCAGCGCCCCCTGCTGGTTTTCCCCAAACCCCCTTTTGCTGTTCCGAAAACCTTTTTCCCCCCGTTTAAATTTTCCTGTTTTGGTATCTTTCTGACGTATTTTTCCCCTATTGGACAAAACAAAAAAAATTTTTTAAACAATTAAATTTTAAATTTATAAATGCAGGGAAAAAACCAAATTTTAAATTTTCGATTTTGACATTTTTTTTTTTTCATTTTTGCATCAAAAAAAAAAACTTTTTATTTTTTAAAAAAGGGAGCCATTGGTTTTTTTTGGTCAGAAAACGGGAAACCCTCTAGGTGATTCATTCATTCCATTCTTAATATATTACTATGCTAAAAAATGATATTTAAAAATACTTTTAATTTTGCAAACCAGCCCTTTTTGAAAATATAATATAAAATTTTAAAAAATTTCACAAAAAAATGGGGCCATGTTATGGTTACACTCTCCCCCATTTATATAGGGGACATAATATAAATTTGAAAACAGTGTCTTTAAAAACACTAGCAGGTTTTTTTTTTTAAAAAAAGGTTTAAACTTTATTTAGAAAATTGGGTTTAATCCCATTTTTCCCCATACATATTTGTATTTTTTTTTTAATAAAATTAGACATATTCGTTAAGAATTTTATACAATTTCAATAAATTTCTGCACTAAAAGGTATTTTTCTCAAAGACAAGCATAGTATATCTTTGGAACTGAGCTGGCACATGTTTCGTTCAGGTAACAGTGCATGAAGGTAAGGGTGCATGAAAATGGAACTGAACTGGCACATCTTTAGTTGATGTACATGTGCTTGAACTGCTCAGTAAGTTTATAAGCCTTGTGGCTTGGCTAACAACCATTTGATAGGGCCAAAAAACGAAAAATTTTAAAAAAAACCATTTTTTTTTCCTCAGATATATCTTTAGCTGGTTTTTTCATTTCTTCTTGTACACGTTTCTCTTTTTTTAAAACCAAAAGAAAGTAAAATTCCCTGTAGTTTTTTCATGTAAACCTCGGACCTTGTAATAAAACAAGTATCAGTATTTATGAAACCTAGTGGTTAAGGTGTCTGCCTCTCAACACAGGAGTTATGGGTTCGAGCCATACTCAAATTGAGACTGTGTTTCCTCGACTGACACCAGTACAGGCCTTGAGGTTATAAATAATATTTTCTAAGTTCTGTCTCAAATCTCAGGATTTTCATTGGTCTGTGTACATTCTGTTATTAGAAAAATAATTTTAAATCAAAAACTTATAAGACACTTACAAATTTTACCTCAATTAACTATTATCAGCAAAACTTATTTCCAGACTTAACAATGTAATGCTAAAAGACATTCAACAATCAGTTCGTAGAGAAACAACAGTTTCATCAAGCACTGTTACAGTCTGTAATTTTTTCTCTTGATCAGTTTCCCATTTTTATAATTTTTGTTACTGTGATAAAGTTGGTTAGTATGTTAAGTAACTCACCTCTTGTTCAAGTTTGGACATGTTTGACTCGAGACCAGCTGATGCTGTATCATAAGCATGTTTCTTGTCATTGTATTCCTGTGTCAGCTCCTGTAAGAATGTATTTGTATTTACATTAATTTGACTACTTCTTTGACTTTTTGTCTGCGTTTAAGGCAGTAATTTTTAAAGAAATTTTTCGATTTGTTTCCAATAAGTAAAATGCTGTCAACTTTACAAATGTAGTGATTTTGCCTAGCCTAACTTGTTTAATATCCACATAGGGCTAGCAATATCTAAATTAGATTTACCGGTTCCCATTTATCATAAACATTTTCTTACTTGTCCATTTGATATTTATATACAAGTTTTATATTCAGGAAAATATTCACTTGTCCCTATAGGTTGTGTGAATGCTACAGGGGAGATAACTATATGGTAAAACAATGTTTTATTGCAAAGAGATGAAAACACTGATGAGGTCCTTTATTCTTTACTTATGTACAAAATTGATAAATGTTTTCAAAATACACTAAACATTTACAATAGGAAAAGTACAATGGCATGTCCATAAATATAAGAAAATATTTTGCTATTTTGAACTTTTTATACATAATTTTATATATAGAGGATATTGAATGAGTAAAAGATTAATACTGAATTTATTGGATGAGTTCAAAAAATTCAGTTATGAACTTAATATTTTATTTATCACATACCAAAAATTAAGACCGTTTGAAGTGAAAAAGAACCATTTTTCATTGATTCGCCTGTAATATATTATAACGTTAACATTTAGTGCATCATGATGCTATGTTTATATAACGCAAATGGTGTCACGTCAAAATATATGCACTGCTGTACAATACCATTTTTAGTCCCAAAAGCGGCACGAGTGTGTAATAAATTTAGACACATATTATTTAATTGCTTACCTGAGCTTGCTGTCTCAGGGGACGTAACTCCTTTATAATTGGTGCGAGAGCTCCTTTCTTCTCAGCAATACGCTTATTTAGTACCCTCACCATGTCAGATATCTCTTCCAGTGTCTGTCCCTTCTTGTGATCAAGGTTACTCTTCTTTGACGAGACTTTCTCAAGGTCCTCCTGCGTCTGTCTATAACCTCCAACACCATGCTTCGTCTCTAATGCCGACTATAATAGAATGTTAATTAAAACGATAATCTATTTTTTATATCTGGAGGTTGTTTTCATTCACATCACTATAGTCTTGGTCAACTTGTTATAGTTTTAGGTAAGAGTGCTAAATAATGATCAGTGGAATATAAATGGGGCCAAAATAACAATTTGGTACTGCACAAAAACTACATCAGAAATTTATGCTTGTGTTGCTGCTTTCATAGTAAGAAAGCAATTCTACATCATTACAAATCAAAATAATATTTTAAAACAATTCCAAGCATGGATCAAGCAGGCCGGGATGTACAGAACCAGGGAAAATCAATTTTTTGAAGAAAAAAAAAATATATTTTTCCCCACAGGCAATCTGTGACAAGAATGAAACTGAATATGGCTGCTGTTGAAGAAGATCCCAACAAGATGTGTCATCTGCTAAAGCCATCTTGTATTCAAACGTAGGTCATGATTGTGACGAAAACTGGTCAATCTTATAAATGAAATCAAGATAAAAAATGAAGTTGATTTGTTGTTCCTCCTCTTATCTCTTACCAGATTAATTTAACTTATATGTTGCTATAAGGAGCAGAAATTCGAAAAATAAAATTTTATCTCACAAGAGACATGCTTCATACAAACTCTCAGCAATAATTGGCTGAAACTGTGTATATGAATGAAGGGAAGTCATATATTACCAGTTGTTGATCGATGTTCTCATCCCTCATTCTCAAGATCTCCTCCGACCTAGACAACACACCAACTTCCGCCTTTAACTCGGCCAGCTCCGAACGTTTCTTCTTGTAGATGGTACTCTTGCTACGTAACTTGTTCACGTAACGTTTAAACTGAAAACATATTAAACACATATAATCTATGGCACAATGACAAAACACACATATAATCTATTACACAATGACAAGGACCCACATCTGATCAATATAAGAAAGTAAAGTTTGAAAAGTATTTCCTCCATGAGAAAAAAAAACACAGTATACAAAAATTATTTTTTAAGAAAATAAAAAATTGTACTATTCCGACTTAAGGTTATGGTGATTCTTGTAAAGAAATCCTCACCAATAAGCCATGAAGACAATATAATCTCATTTTATACCACATAAATGTAAAAGTTATTTAAAATTAGGAAATTAATATCCATTTTTGAATGCTTTGATGTAGAATAATGCACAGTTTAAGTTCAAATGCACAGGAATATAATCATGATGACTAATAGGCCTCCTGAGTGATCAATTACAAAGCGTTTGAATGATAAACCATGCATTTATATACTGCAATGCCAGAAAAATTAATATATCTATTTCCATTCTTACATGCTTATAGAAAAGAGAATTCATAAAAATATGTTGAACTAAGCATAGAAGTAATTTTCCTGATGCCTTTTGCTTTATTGACATCATATCTGCTGTCATACGAGATGTAAGCATTCTTTTTTATGCTGAGCATATATAGTATTATAATGTACTGGACAGTTTGTTTAATTGAGGAATTATGAGAAGCGAGTAAGAAAAATACTTGATGCATTTTATTACAGTTATCATAAACCGGATATACCTCTTCCCCTTTGAGGACCTCTCCGCCTCCACTAGCTTGTTTGGCCAGCTCTCGTTTCTCGTCAACCTCGTGCATCAATCTAGAATACTCGTCACGAGCTTCACGAAGATTCTCTGCTGCGTTCTCCTTCTTGTGAGCTATAATAGCAGCCTAAAAGTAAACAATAACATAAATTTATGTAAACAATAACACAAATATACGTGTTGAGTGGTGGCATGGCCAAGTGGATAACGCAATGGACTAGTAATCTATGGATCACTAGCTGTGTGGGTTCAAAACCCTGTCAGGGACAAGTCCTTGTTTCCCTGAGCAAGAAACTTGACATTTATTGCTCAGTACTTGTCGGTTACAGGGACAGAATCAAAACCGTGTCTATAAGCTTATAGATTCCTACACAATCAAACTAAAATAAATTCTGTATAAATCAAATACATTTATATGTAATTCAAGCAGATCATAACAACAAATTTAAGATCTAGATAGGTGTTGACTTTAATATCAGTGGTCTCAATAGTTGGGGTCAAATTAAGAGTAATGCAAAACATTTGGATTGAATCAAGTTGACTTAAAAGTGGATAAGCATTTGTTCTTAATTCTGGATCATGTAACCATTGACATAAAGAACCTTGTAAAAAATAGTCTTATTAAGGGGGTGGTCTTAATTCAGGGGTGGTCTTAAGTAGGGATTCTACTTTACATTGAATGTAATCAATTATCAATCAATTACTCTCTTAAAGTAATTGTAATTTAATTGATTACAGAGGCAAGTCTGAGTAATCAATAATAATCAATTACAATAAAATCTGAAAGTAATTGTAATTAAATCAATTACTGATCATTGTAATCATCCCCAGGTCTGGTAAACAATAACATATATACATGTAAACAAAAGAATGACATGTACAAAAGATTCATCCATACCCTTTTTACAGCGATTGTTATAATCTTTAATACATAAGATTAACAATAAACACAAAATATTGCAAAAACGGTGCCAAGTTAAATGTAGATTTTATAAATACATGTTGTGCCGAATTATGAAAACTCTTGATTTAGGGTCTGTAAACATATATTCAAACAATAACGCTAAATGGAAAGGGTTAGATTTTGGAATTTATACAACGTTTTTGAATTGATACAATGTTTTGCAAAAGTAATTCTATAAACTAATTTTAATTTTCAGCTTCCTGTTACATGTGTTAACGCACCTGTTGTCTGAAGAGGGACAGTTTATCATCCATAGGCTCGCCACTTCTCATTCTCTTTTCTACAAGCTGATTGATCTCCGTGTTCAAATCCCCAATCTGTATAATACAAATAACAAAATAATTAACCTGCAAGTGAATTTTTGTAATAGATCTTTTGCCCTGCTTTCAATTTCAGGCTTTCTACTGCATCTACCAAAAAAACTAGGGAAAAAGTAGGGCATTTTTTTACCAAAAAGTAGGGCAAAGTAGGGATTTCTGATGTTAAAAACTAGGGACAAAGTAGGAATTTCTTACCGTTTTAGTTAAGAATAAGCAAAACATACCATCACCAAGACCACACCAGGCTGTGTGTATCTTCAGTTCAGTCCATGCTTGAAAGACATGCACCTCATAGGCAGAATGTTGCTGAATGTTTTGCCAAGGCACCATGAGCAGAGCTGCATCAGTACTAAGGCTGTAGTACTTAAGTACCAGTTCCAGTACTCCAAGTTTTGCAGTACCATTTCCAGTACTAGTACTTGATTTTAGCTTGGTACTGCAGTACCAGTACTTTTTTGGGGGAAGTAATTAAGTACCAGTACTAATACTTTTATATATTCATCAAAGTTTGAATAAATACACAGTGTCATTCAAAATAATTGCAAACATTATTCCACAAAGAAATAAAATCATTTACTTTAAAGTTGACATTGCATTTTTACAACTTAAATGAACAAACATACTTTTTACAAACAATAATCATCATATATTCATGTCATATGTTATTGTTTTGTAACCGCAGTCAACTGTAATACAATGCAATAATCTTACATTTTAAACACACCAGTCTTTTTGTTGCCTTTTACACCTTCACACCTCTGTTCAATTTATACCAAAGTAAATAACTTTTTTATGGTGCTAACAATATCACTTGAAATATGATTATTTAGAATAGAAGTAATTTATTAGTGTTTATTTTGCTCTTTTTTTACTAGTAAATACAAAGTAATAAGATTGCAATAAGGATATTTTACCAGTAAAGAGATATTGACTCTGTTTATCTCAATTTAATTTTACTTTAAGTCTTTGGTGCTTTTTTATGATGAATACTATGTTAACATTTGAAGGAATATTGCAGCAAATTATTTATAGATTTGATAACTTACTTTTTCACAAAAATAAAATAATACCTGGAATTTACAGCTTTACTTTATGAGTAAAAATAAAGACATTTTTATCAAAACCAAAAATACTGCCTAGTAATGCAGTAGCAGTACCACTTTTTTAAGACAGTAATGCAGTACCAGTACCTGAGTTGTAGCAAAATTTTGTAAGAGTAATTCAGTATCAGTACCAGTACTTGCAAAATTGCTCCAGTATATACTGCAGTACTAGTACCAGTAATGCAGCTCTGACCATGAGTCTTTCAAGGGTGGACATCACAAGGAGACACTAACACACACCTGAACTATTAATCAATTGCAACTGAAATACAACTGAAATACCATTTTAAATATCTTCCTTTCTCATTTCATTTCAAAATGAAAAAGTAGGGATAATAGGGCTATTTCAGAAAAAAGTAGGGCAAAGTAGGGATCAAAAGAAAAAAGTAGGGAAAAGTAGGAAAAGTAGGGACCAGTAGAAAGCCTGCAATTTGGAACATTTCATTCAAGGTTTAATGGATGTTAGCATCTCATAATTTGTCACCTTAGTGCAATATCTGGTTAACTCCTATTATTAAATTTAGGACTTAACACGTTATTGCAATATGGTGACAATATTATGTTTGGTTTTATAAGTAGGCGCAACAAGACAATTTAGGTCGAGTGGCGCCCAAACAGAAAAGATGATTTTGGCTTACCTCCGGTATTACAACTTTAAATCAACACCAGGGGGTCAAAACCACATTACCTGTTGGAGCTAAGAGATGCATAGACTCCAGTAATTTAAACTCAATAAGTCGCCTCTTACCATCATGTAGGGATAAACAGTAGTATCTCATATGTAAATAGTAAACTTGAGCTGCTAGTTCAGATTGCTAGGAAATGCAGGCTCGGCTGGCTCTATAGAGGTGGCAAAGGCTGATTACTTTTGGTTCCATTTTGGTTATTTTCATGATTTTTAAAAGTAAATTTTAGCTAACCATAGTTAAACAATTTGATAAATATGTATTTCACAACAAGCATATAATTTTAAACAAATTAATTAAAGCAATTTAAATCTGGAAGATTTAGTGAAATGCCAAATTCCATAAAATGACAGCTCTTATGAAATAACCTTTTCTTTCTTTGAACAATCAACTCCTTCACAAATTAATATATCACACACCTTATTATGTAATTCCTCTAGGTCAGCCTGACCCATGGCTGGTTCAGCAACAACCCTTTGAAGGTCCGCAACACTCTTCTTCTTTGATTCTATATCCTTTGGAAGTCTCTCCTTTACGATATAGCTGTTAGCCCTACTCTCTTCTTCCAATCTTTGTAACAGACCTAGAAATAATTAATTCATTACATTTTAAATATCTATACCTAAAATAAGCTTTAAAGGTGCAGAACCATGGCAAAATGAACAAACTCCAAAAACAGCTTTCATGATTATGCCCCTTGTCTAACAACCGCACCTTGTCAATATAAGCAAGTGCTCCAAATTTCATGCTGTTTACTTTTAAACTGTTTGAATAATGGTCTACATTAAAGATTTTGCACGACAACAACTACAGCAATGCCAAAATGGTCATAATAGCTCGCCTTTTTTTCAGAACAGACAATAATTCTGATGTCTCGACCTATGAAGGCAGCCCCTCAGCCACAAATTATACTTTTTGAAATGAAAGTTAAAATTTCAACATTGGTCTATAAAGAATGAATGTCATATTTACCCTCAGCTGTTGCTCCAACACTAGCTTGTCTATGATCATGTAACTGTTGCTGTAAACGCTTCATCTTCTGTTCCGAGTGCTGAATCTATATCAAACATGACTTGCTTATATATAAATGATTAATGTGAACAATGAATAATGAACCTTTATTGTACAATGATTAATGAACTTATATAATTGTACAATGATTAATGAACCTTTATCATACAATGATAAATGAACCTATATTGTACAATGATTATTGAACCTATATTGTACAATGATTATTGAACCTATATTGTACAATGATTTATGAACCCATATTGTACTATGATTAATGAACCTATATTGTACAATGATTAATGAACCCATACTGTACAATGATTAATAAACCTATTTTGTACAATGATTATTGAACCTATATTGTACAATGATTAATGAACTAATATTGTACAGTGATTAATGAACCTATATTGTACAATGATTAATGAATGATTAATAAACCTATATTATACATGCACATTTTATAAACTACACATTTTCTTCAATAATATCAAGATCTCATATTAATTTAATTATTTGCTATTCTGTAAGTACAATACTTATTTTGAAATTTTCATAGTTCATATTTGATATTTAGCATGGTAAGACTAAAAACATAACCAGCTACACAGTGTTGTACTACTTTGTCTCTTTTATAATTTTAACACAAGATTGTATAAAATGGTTCGTGAAATGTTTAACTTATATAGACTTAAAACTGGTCCATTAAGCTTATTTCAAAACAATATCCTCTAGGCACAAATCTATTAAAATTTATCTGTTAAATCAATGTGACTTTTTGTTTCAACTTTCTCAATTTTGCAATACAGCTGCAAATGCTGCATCAAGAAGGGGAAGTAACCAATATATACAAATTTCTGAAAAAAAATAATTTTTTATACCAGAGGGTTAAATTTCTCCTGCTCTGTTTTAGCAAGGGTTTTCTTTTCTTTAAAATTTTCTCCCCGTCGAAGATTCCTTTGGGGTTTAAATTTAACAATGTTAGCATTTTGGGTGTTGCTTTAACCTGAAATTAACACCCAAAAAAGTTTCATTAGAAAGACAACACAAAAAAGAGTAAAAAGTAACAAAACCAAAAATTATCCCTTTTGATGCAACACGACAGGAGTAAAAAGTGTCAAAAAAATAGATTTCTCCACGAAGAAACTTTTACTGACTAAAAACTTAATTTAGATTCAGTGCCTAACTTTAAGGAAAAGTAATAAAATTGGCTTTTTAAAGGTGATTTTTGTAAAAAATTGACCAAATTTATCTGAAACTTCACCAAAAGGCAGAAGTCCTTAAAAGGAAATAAGACATCAAAATCTTTAAGATGTCAGTTAGTGTAAGTTCTATTAGGAGTTGCATGTAGTTATAACAAAAGGAAATGTAGATCTCCTGATTAATGGATATTTAAATAACTAGATGCCTTGTTCTCTTTTTTATTATTTAAGCCAAATATAGGTATTTTTGTGTTATTGTTACCTTCAGGTCCAATAGCCATTTTAATATCAAGCATTGTTGAATGACAAACGTTAAAACTTTCTAGAAAAATCAAAGAACTCCAAGTCCATGCAATATGCCTTAGGCAAGGAAGGGATTGGGCTGGGAGTGGTTACCACTGACCGTTTCATTATCAAGATATTAAGCTGGTGTACCTTTCTTTTAAGGCGTTCAACTCGTTTAATAAGCTGCTCCTTCTCATCCTCCATGTTTGATATATCTTTTCTGATCTCTCCTGTGTTATACCCGGAGTTCTTCAAGCTCTCCGACTGTTTGTGTAATTCCTTGAACGTCTCTATCAACTCATCATACTGTCAAATATAAACAAAAACAATATGTTACATATTGACTACAGCATTCGATAGCAGTACTTGAAAGGTAGCTTTTAATTTCAAGAATCTTTTAGTAATCAAGGACACAAATGAATATGTGCACTTTAGTAATCAAGGACGCAAATGAATATGTTCACTTTTGATTTATTATTAGTATATGATACATATCCATATTTACCAAAACCAAATTACAGTCTAAGAATATTTAAAGATAAATGTCTGTATATTCACTGCAATGACGATATCAATTATATTTTTACCTGTTGATAAAGATCTACCATCTGGTCATCTTGTTTGATATCAGCTGGGACCTCGACTTTAACGAGGAACTTTGCCAGGTAGGCTCGTTTCTGCAGGCCAGGTATATTCTTCAACATCCATTCCATTATATGATAAATTATAGGTTTATCACCCTGTACCAATCCTGTCCTAAATGTACTCCTTCAAAACACAACACAGCACAAACATATGGGTAAGAAACTACAAAATCTAATCATAACACTCTTTAAATGGAAAATAAGTATGATTTATTTGAATTAATTGAATTTGTAAGATTCCTTACAATATGAAACAAGAAGAGAAAGTTTTACTAACTATCAGCCTGTTGGCAGCATACCAGTGCAGACCAAAATCAAGCAGCACATCTGATCAAGGTCTGGATAGTTTGTTATTTAGTCAGGAAATATTTCCTAAAATTAATTAATGGTTTTGTCCAGATTGAAAGACTGACAAGTCCATTTAAAGATAACAAGAAGGTAACTAAAATTTACAAACCTTTATATTCATTTCTTTAAAAAGTTGTTAACATGTTTATTTAAGAAGATTCAGTCAGGGTGTGCTAAATAAAAACACCATTATACCCGAATATGTAACTTAACTATACTTACACATCCCTGAAAAAAGTAAAATAAAACATCAATTAGTATTCAATAAAAAAACAACAACTACATAACAGTATTATCAAACACAATAAATTAATGGGTAATTTTGTAATTCCTCCATGCTTAAGAAATAAGATTTACCCCTTCAATTTTATAGAAATTTCACTCGTCACAATAAGAAGATTACAAGAATGGCAATAATCACTTTTAATATGAAAAGCTATTGACAGTAAATTGATAATTAATGAGAAATGTGTCCATAGGACACAGATGCCCAAACATTCCACTGTTTTCTCAGTCTTCTGACTGACAGTGTGACAGAGACCTGCCAATGTCCTCTTCTGTTAAGTTTACAGTAAAATACGGTTATACCCCAATTAAGTTTAAATAGCCTGGACAGACCAGTGCATGTGTGCCACCATTCTGCCCATAGTAATAAGAGCCATAAAAAGTCATGAATTAAATTAAAAGGAAAAGGTTTCAGCTTACTCTGTCGGTGGTTTATATTTGAGAACTCTCAAACAGCCAAATATTCTGATGGCCGTCATATCTGGTGTCTCTTCCCTGATATCTATTGCTTGCTGAAAATATACAGAATTAACAAGTCTGTGATGCAGTAATGTAAATTCACTTAATTTTGGGGGCATGATATATTGTGGTTTAGTTGAAACAGACACTTTTGCAGGTTTTAAATTTGTTGATTTGTCTGTTTTAGCAAAAATGTACAGTAAAATACAAATACATGTAATTGTAATTGTACATCACACAAAATGAAATTACAATGGAACTATCCACGAAAACTGCAAAGAATAGAGCCTCATGAATAATAATGTTTTTGCAGTACATGTATTTAACAAGAAAATCAAAATTATCAAGAATTATTAGATAATTAATTTTATAAAAAAAGTTGTACATTCTAATACTTATCACTGAAAAAATTATCATAAATATAACATATACATTGGTAAACAAATATTGTGGCAAATTTTGACAATTCTGTCTTCAGCATAATAAACCTGGCAACAATCACATGAATATGCAATGGACTGTGGTAAAAGCACAGCTCACTTAAAACTGCATGCCTCCAGAGTAACGTGATTTTTTTTAATGTCTTTACCTATTATAATCAAAATATACAGTATACTATAGTAATAGTACCCTTGCCATAACAACATTTTAAAATATTAAGATGAGAGTTTAAAAGTCAGACTGCAGAGAATGCTGGTGGCAAAGAAGTTAAGATTTAAAATATAAGCTAATCAAACTTAAACCTTTGGATCAACAACTCCAAGTACATCATTGAGAACCTGCAGGAGTTGGAGGGGTTCTAAGGAATCAAAGCTGATCAGGTTGTAGTTCTTGTTGAATGGCTCCTTGTTCAACTCCTGAACAATAAACTTCAGCTGCTCACTCATGACTGCAGCTTGGTTAACTCACAATAATTTCCTGCAAATAAACAAAGTGTTAACCAATTTCTGGCAGACTTTTTGTTATGGACTTCTCCTTAAGGTATGGATCTCACTCTCCATAATTCATTAAGGATTATATATGAATCTTACTCTTCTCTTCATTAAAGACACTCAAATGTCCGTTTGAGAGATACATGATTTATGTAATATAGTGTGTAATTCACAAGCAGATTTTTTTTATATCCACAGGTTGTGGTTGCCTAGTGGTTAGGGTGTCTGCCTCTCAACCCAGGGATCATGGGTTCGGACCCTAATCAGGTCACGACCATGTTTCTTCACATGACACCATTACTGGTTGGTTCCAGGAAACAGACTCAAAAGTGATTAATTGCAAGAACTTGTTTCCCATTTGAGTTTAAATAAATATGTTTAAACCTAAACTAGGTTGCCATGATTCATTGCCCTAAGCATTTTCACAATGCTTGTTTGATCCACTATATTTTCTTTTGATCTAAACATTCTATGTTCAAGAAATTTGGCAAACATATTTACTTTGATGTTTAAAATATCTTCTTAATGTAACATAAATGTTTTCTTTCTTAACGAACTCTTGTCGAGACTTTGTGACAAACACAATAACATTGTTGACTCCAGGACAGGGATTTAATTTAGGGCATCTGACAATATTGCAATTAAACTGGTCCCCGAACATGATCATTAATGGTATCTTTCTATATTTTTTATTTTTAGGTAGTGACAGAACTCTTTCATAAAAAGAGATTCTCACCCAGTGCTTTTTTTAAGCAATTTTGGATACAAATACAGCAAAATTCTGGCTTCAAAAACATCCCCCTCCACAAATTATAGGCTAATATAATATAAAAAAGGCAAAACCTAAAAGTGAGCTCGATTTTCTTTTACCATAAAATAGTTTAAAATAATCATTCATTTTTATTTTACATTTTCCGTTTTAAAATTTTTATTCGGTATTTTATACACTGCTTCTGTTTATTCTGGTTCCCCCTTTCTATTATTGTTCCTATATAAGTGCGCAGGACACCAGTCGACGCTTCCGTTTTCAATCAGAGAACATCAGCTTTTATCGTTATCTTGTAATTCGAAAAGTTGCGATGTGTCAATTCCGTACTTCGGACGAAAGTTTTCAAAACCATCACTGACAAAAGTTTTCAAAACCATCACTTAGCAGGTACTCGCGTTACCTTAAAGCTCGCTTTGTGATCAGGCCCTTGGGGCCAGCTCGTCGAGCTCGCTACTCACTATTTCATTATTAACACTGATAAAGTCGCCAAAGATTATATTTATTTCTAAAAATTCATATTAAGTGGCGCGATCGTTGATACAAGTTATTTTAACTCAAATTAACGTTAATATTTACCCCACCCACCTCATTTCTCTGGTTGACAGGGACGCTGTCACATTTTTTCGCTAATCTAACACGTTATTTTCATGAAAAGATTTTATTATTCCAATAGACGTTTATTCATATAAAAAATTAAACTGCTTTTTTGTATAAATTTATTTAAATGAGTAAAGAATACCGTTAATTGTGTGTTTTCCTCACCTGCAAAATTCTGTTGCCAAAATATTTCTGACTGTGCATCACTTATTTTTAATCAATAGGTAGGCTAACAAAAACTTGAAGGCAAACCAGTCTACTAAAAAAATTCTAATACTACACCAATCTCCTACGCAGTGATCTCCCCTTATCAGTACAGAGATTCTGCCAAGGGAGGTAATCAGTGTGAGGAGTTTGATACTACACCGTTAATGAAAGAACACCACTAAATTTATATGGAGTCAAATATCACTATATCATTTCAACAACAGTTTTCTATCGATACCTTTACAAATAAAGATATAATTCGTTCAGCCCAGAGATTTATAAAACAGATTAAACAAAAAAAAACATGTACTATTAACTGTAAATTGTTTATTATACATGCATGCAAATAAAAACGACTTGATACTGCAAGTGGTTTACAATTATGCTTTATATACATGTAGATAATGTGTATGTATTGTTTAACTGTTAATCTAAAAAAGACACAAGTGTTAGTATTTGGGAAATGCAAAATGATCCTAATTAGTCTTTGTTACAGAAATAAACTTTTACAACAAGTAACAACAAAATATTTAGGTATTTTGTTCAGTTCAAATGGCTCATTTACTGCTTGTATAAACGTGCAATTCGAGCTTACTTTAAACTATCAAGATATTTGGTTGATGTAAAACGGTGGTTAAAAACTTTTTTTTTTAATTTTTGATCATACTGTTAAACCTATTCTTTCATATGCTTGTAAAATTTTGGGTACTGTGAATATTGATACGTGTATTGTTAAAAAAGATGATTATTTTGTTGAAAACTCGTTTAAAAACTTGTAATGTGACCATTTGCATCTGAAAGCTTTATAAACATATTCTTGAAGTTCACAAAAATTCTGCAAATGATGCTATTCTTGGTGCAACTGGAATATCTCCATTATATGTAAATATTAACCTATAGCTCTTCAGCGCTTCTTATGTAAAATTCTTCCAAGTATAATTTCCAATAACCGTAAATTATACCATACCCAGACTATGGTATAATTTTCAGTTTTGAAGATCGAAGGAGTAAGTGTTTCTGGGCGGAGCTATAGGTTAAAACAGATACACCATTGGTGCGTTGACGATTTCTGGGTTTGCGTAAATTATACCATAATCACGTGACCTTTCTTATGCAACCTCACTCGACTTCGTCTCGTGAGGTTAAGGCATAAGAAAGGTCACGTGATTATGGTATAATTTACGCAAACCCAGAAATCGTCAACGCAGCAATGGTATATCTATTACTTGTTACGCGATCAACAAAATACTTTATTAGATCGACTTTTATAGTCAAAACCAACTTAATTCACTGATATACTCTGCATTTCAAGAAAATTTAACCTTGCATCCAATTGGAAGGTTAATTGAAAGTTATTAAAGATCCTGTAATTAGATCGTCTCTTAGTAAATTTCGAATTAGTGCCCATGACAATTAACCTATAGCTCTTCAGCGCTTCTTATGTAAAATTCTTCCAAATATAATTTCCAATAACCGTAAATTATACCATACCCAGACTATGGTATAATTTTCAGTTTTTCTGGGCGGAGCAATAGGTTAAAACAGTAGCGTCATGTTATTTTGATTGACAGCTCATTTTACGTCATTTCTGCTATGCAAATTAAGATCGAAGGAGTAAGTGTTTCTGGGCGGAGCTATAGGTTAAAACAGGTACACCATTGGTGCGTTGGCGATTTCTGGGTTTGCGTAAATTATACCATAGTCACGTGACCTTTCTCTTATGCAACCTCACTCGCAAACCCAGAAATCGTCAACGCAGCAATGGTATATCTGTTTTAACCTATAGCTCCGCCCAGAAACACTTACTCCTTCACTGAAAATTATACCATAGTCTGGGTATGGTATAATTTACGGTTATTGGAAATTATACTTGGAAGAATTTTACATAAGAAGCGCTGAAGAGCTATAGGTTAACTATTACATAAGAAGCGCTGAAGAGCTATAGGTTAATTGGAAGTTATTATAAAGATCCTGTAATTAGATCGTCTCTAAGTAAATTTCGAATTAGTGCCCATAAACTAAAAAACACTGATTTAATTTGCTTTATTGTCTTAATGTTACAAAGTCTTTTGCTCATTGTGATTACTAATTATAATTAAGCTTTCGTAATGTAATGTTTTTAGTAATGTACATCTTGTACAATATCATTATTATGTGATTATATGCGTGTAAACGCCCAATACAATATATTCTATTCTTATTCTATTCTGTACAAATCAAGGCAGTTTAGGCCGTGGCAAATTAGTAGTCAAATGGTCAAAGTATTTAATCCCAAGTTTTGATGAAAAAAGTACAAGAACATTTTGAAAGGTAAGAAATTGAGTAAATTTCATCTGTAAATTAAAGGGAAATAATTCCTTGTAAGCCAACAGTTGGTTTACGAAGTGTTACTTCCCCTTAACCAATAAAACTAGTTTTATTTATATTTTGAGGACAGGTGAGAGAAATGGACTCGCCCAGGTGAATGAAATTTTGTCAACCAATGAAAATCGCGATTTGCTTACTAGAGTGTCAACGATTGTGTCACCAAGCATGTTAGAGTGTGTATTGAAAATGTGTAGTGAATGGGAATGGTGTAGCACTGGACGAATTTATCATGGAAGTTTTTAAAAGTTTTTTAATTGTAATAGTTGTTGTTTTAAGTTTTGGTGTGACAGTTATCGCAGGACAAAATGGTTTATTAAGTGCGCGATGCGCGGCACGATGTCTCACAGAGCATAAAGATAGTTTAAGAGGGGTAGGTACAAAGAATTTGCTGACATTTTAAAGATAAAACTTTTCATTTGAAAATGATTTGTTCAAAACTTTTGACATTCGATAGTTTGTATAGATCTAAGCATAAAGACATTAATTTAGAACGTTGGCAAGATTAACATGGGGGGTCTCAAATCATACCACATAAGTAATAGTAAATATTTTAAGCTTTAAATTTACTTAAGTGATAGTTTAAATATCATTTGCTTATAATCTGCATAATGCTTTGTCATGGCATGATATTGAACATCTTTAAATACATCAATTAGTGAACATCACCCTCCTTCAATTAGTAGAAATCTGAAGAAATTTGATTAAACTCGTATGTTTCAACATAAACACCATAAAGAAAATGGTAACATCTGCTTTACAAAAATCAGTTATAGGTTAAATTTTGATAATTATGAATGACCTATTGCAAAAATTTAGTTTAGTGACTTAAATAAGGTATATTATAAGTAATGCATGGTACAGAATAAATTGATTAATAGATAAATCAATTAACTAATTGGAGTTGATAATATAAAGTGTACTGTAAATATTATTATTCCCACTGAATAATGTTAAGTAATTAAAAAAAAGCCACTTCTTGAAGACTTAGCAAGCTTTGATTGTAAAATGATGCATTTATCAACAGGTGGTCTTTGTAAACAAGTAACACATCTCATTTTGTTTACTGCCAACCCCTCTTGTGAGTGTAAAATATAAGGATGAGCACATATCTGGAAAGTTTGTATATAGCAACAAAATTGAGACAAAGAAAAAATTGTAGGGTTAAAAAATCTTTGGTGGTCTTTTGACAAAGGTGGTCTTTTAAGACAGATCAAGTGTAACCTTTATGTGGCAATAATGCATAGATCCCTGACCTGTCTAATTCTAATTATAAGATCTAATTCTTATTATCAGATTAGTGGATACAATAAGAATTTCACCACAACATGTTTGTTAAGAGCACACATCAATGTTTGTGGTTAAATATATTGTTATTTGAGTAGGGAACTATCAGTTGTGCTTAGAGACCCAAGTAATTTTACAAGAAGTGGAAACACTGAATGTATTTAATAAATGCATTGGCCCCATTGTTTAGCTCCCTGATCCTGTCTCATAATGCAGGGGTTTTGAGATTTAGATGTTAGAGCACTGGTAAAGGCCTGGCCTTGAGGGGACAGTCAGATGGTTAATAAAACCCAGCTGAATGTCCCTGTTCTGCAAGTTGGACATTATTCCTTGTTATTTTATGCCAAAAACAAAGCCACCACATTCAGCAGAACATTGGCCAAAGGTAAAAACCACAGCTCAGTTTTAATAATTCCCTCATCCTGCTACCCCTGCACTGTCCTGTTAGGGTGGGATGGGTCACAAGTAACTGGCATAATCATATAAAATGTAAGAGAGTATAAGCTAGAAATGTCTATATTTTATAATGTGACTGTCAATATATTGAAGCAGTTAATCCAGTAATTGATTGTTTTAAGGATTTATATTGACTTGACAGTTATTAATTATAACCTTGGAACTTCTGGCTGCTCTGATAATTCACAGTTGTTGAACATTATTGAACTGTTAAATACTTTGTATCCATTCCTTGAGGTAATCAGGTCATAGGGGGGCATCTTTGGCCAAGTTAAGGTTGTTCAGACTTCAAAATACTTACCCCTCACTGCTGTGGGTTTGATTCCCACCAGGGACTTTGGATTCTATCATGTGGTGAAGCTTCAAGAATCAAGCTTCCATCATTGACTGCTTACGGAATATGGGTGATTCTAATATACTGCTGATGAGGTACCTACCATTAAAGTGCAATAAGTAATTCAAGATGCTTTTTTTTCACAGAATTTAAACTGAGATTGGTTTGTTTGTTGAAAAATCCACACAAAAAGATATTTTATATCTTTTGACTCACTGATTGAAAGTGAATGTTTTTTTTACTGTGAATCAAGATTCAAGCTACCTGCTGGTTGAATTTCAGAGAAAATTACTTTTTTTGAAAATCTGCACAGTTTACATTGACTAAACATATACGTGAGCCACTATATATAACCTGATTTCAGTTGCTTTAAACTTGATGATGGGCTTTAAGTGTTATACCGTATAGTGATAGAATTCGCCACTTAATTCTAGCATGTCTAATACATGGCTACACCCATAATCCCTGTCTCTGCTCTTTTTGCGATAATTTTCTTACTGGGGGTAGATAATGTGTCAGATATATGGGTTGAATATTGACAGAATTTGGAAAACGCAGCATTAATGTAAGCTCATTTATGTTCAAACTTTTAAGTGTAAAACAATTCAGCAACGAAATAAATTACTCTAAGTAAACAAGAAGTTTGAACTTTTTAAAGTGAAATTCAAGACATTATGACCATGAAGGATAACATTATATCTTAAGATTGTATGTTGGGTCTTTTTATGCCCCCATAGGGGGGGTCCTATAGTGAAATGTTGGAATCTGTATTCATTGGACGCATGTCTGGTTTTAACAACTTAGTTGCAGTCCTTATTTTATGTAGAAAACCCCTTGTTTGCTTATGTTTTTATTTATATATAATTCCAGATCAATATGCCAGTCACTTTTCATATTAATTTTGTTGATAATCAAGGATTTTAAATTAAAGCTGCTTGCCTCCAGTGATGCCAGATGAGCCAAAATATTTCAAGGAAATCAAACTTGAGAAAAATGTACTATTATAAATTTTAAGAGAAAAAAAAAATCCAAGATTTATCATTTAAGTAATAATTTACAGTCATGTTATGTGCGATTAATGGTTGATTTTGCAGTATTTATCACCATATATTGCAGTTACGGATTAATTAGTATAATTTTTGCATATTTTGATCTCTTTTTGGTATTATTTAATACATTGGATGTAAGTGCTGTTTGCAGTGTGTAAATTATTTTCTATGTTCACTTCACAATATTTTACTTTTCAATGCATTTCAAAAATGTTCATGAAAATAAGCAGGAATCTGCAGGCGTGCTGCTTTAAAGAGTGCACATACTATTTTTCTTGAATGATTTATAGAATGCTTGATGAAATGCTCATGTTTAGGGGGGAGAGATGTTAGTCCTGTTCTTTAATAATTAAGTTTCATTGTAATACAAACTAAGCATTGTGTAAACTGAGTGTGGGAAATTTGTTGATTCTTGAAGATGAAATCGTTACCAATGAAATTAGAAGCCCAAAATTGTAAATTGTGTCTGTGACCTGTTAATTCAGGAATCATCAGGACTTGATTCCTAGTAGGGTTACAAATATGTATATAGCTCGCCACTTAATTGTAATGAAAGGGATGACGTAGCAGACTGACAGTACAGCTAAATATCTTAAATATATCAAAGAAAATGCAATGACCACTGTGGTGTAGCATACTGGACTGGCAATCCAGAGACCCATGGTTCGAGTGCTGACTGCAGTGACATGCCGATTTTTGTGTGTGATTTTCCTGTACATATAATGCCAGTACTGGCGTATACAGAAAGCTGAGTATATAATAAGACCTACACTTTCTTCAGAACCAAACTTGTATATAGATCTATAAATACATATTATATTGTAAATGACAAAAGGGAATTGAGATCTGACTATCAGTAATCAGTGACTTGAGACATGAATTTCACAGTAGAAGTTGATAACTGTGTAATAGGAGAGATGGTTCGAATTGACGATTGACACTCGTTATAAATTATATGTGAAATATGACTCAGCGTGTTTAAAGCAACGACAGGCTTCCTCCGACCGAGTATCTGCAATTCAAATCTTTAAACACAGCATGATAAGGTTATGATGTAACACCATGACATTTTAAAGGTATAATGAATCTGCTGAATATGATGAAATTTAATTCTTAAAAGCAGAACAGGTTTATAATTTATGCAGCTTATTTGCAATTCACTGGGGTGTTAGATCATCATCATATAATACGATGTTCAAGAATGATTTCTTGGTTTTGTTTCTTCGGGAGGGAATCTACAAGCAGAATTTATGATCAAAAAGCAATTAATTTCTGCAAATCAGCAGCACAACTTCCAATACATTGTTTATGTCACAGCCAATACTTTTTTTTCAAGAAAATTAAAATAATGTAGTTGTCTACTTGTATTTTTAATTATTCTCTTAACAGTTATTAATAAACTATTTGCTTAATTTAAACCAAAGCAAAAAAAAATGTTCTTAAGGATACAAGGTACATTTAGAAGTAAGTGCAAGGTTTCTGCAAAAACTAAGTGCTGGAGATTCAGCAGAAATTGGAACTTAATGCAAGAATAAACCAAGATGTATTCAACATCTAGTGAAAGATTTATGCAAGAACTAAGCAAGGCATAATTTCAGCAGGAAATTCAGGAATTGGAAATTTTCTAAAAGAATTAAGCAATTAAATTAAGATACATTCAGAAGTTGATACGTAAAATTTCTGCAAGAAGCAATATTTAGACACTAACATTATGATAGACAACTTATGCAAGAAGAAAATTATGCAAGATATTTACCAGCAGTAAAGCCATTAGATTTCAGACTTTAAATTCTTAAATTATAAATTTAAAAAAAATCTGAAATAATTAACCTTTTTACAAATAATTGTCAGCGAGAAAAAAATCATCATTGAGTAAAAGACGTTGGCTTTAGTGGAAAAAAAAAATGAGCCCCAGGTACGAGTCATCAGTGTCCTACAGTTATGTTAATGATGTTTTTTCTACTTCAAATGAAATATTAAAACAGGATTAATTCTTGCTTTCATTTTACATTAAATGCTTACACGACAAACCGGAGCAGTTTTCATTTACATGTAAACAGCAACTTTGGTCCAAATTTTATGCATTTTAGTAGTCAATGTATCGATTAAAGGGGATTTCTATGTGCTTTGCTTTAAAAGAAAAAAAAAAGAAATCTGCATATCTTGCTTTTCTGGCACATTTCAATGTATTTATTCGACATAGCGCTAAATAAACATTCCTATACATTGATGCAATATAATGTGCTG